TATATAACTCGAATCAAGTCGAGTTGAAAAATTTTATAAAATAAATTTGACTCGACTCGACTCGAAAAAAATGAGTTAAATCGAGTTGATCCTTAAACTCGACTCGACTTGACTCATTCAGAACTCTAGTACTGAGGGGTGTGATTATAGAGGGGGTCGACTGTATTAATTATTTATTATTATTTTTTATTTTAATTATTATTATATTAATAGTTTTTATATAAATAAAATAGCTATAAAAATTAGTTAGAAAAGAAAAATTTAACTTATATTTATTAAAAATAAGATAAATATAATTTTACTAAATTCTTTTTTATAATCCTAATTATTTATCTTAAATTATATTCTAAACATTTATTTATATAATCTTTTAGAACTCTTTCAAAACTAATGATTTATGATAAATCCTTTATTAATCTTATATAAATACTAAATTTTAGTTATTAGTATTATAAAATAATAATAGTATAAATAATTTAAAAAAAAATAAAAAAACTAAAATATGAATCTACTATATAAAAATTTATATTTAATTTTAATTAAATATAAATTTTTTTATCTTTTATTTTCATAAAAAAATACTTTTAAAATTAATGCTAAAATTTTACAAATAATAATATGTAAAATAGATTTGTAAAATTATATCTTAAATATTGTAAACATTTTATATCTTTTATATTTTCATACTTTTTAAAAGTAATAAGTATAGTATAAATTTTAATATATTAAAATTGATTAAATTCAGGTTTAAAAGTTATATAATGTTAATGTGCAATCTTTTTAAGTTATAACTGTTAGACGTAATGGTTAGAGGATTGACTCTTTTATAGTTTATATAATAAAATCCATAATTTCAAGTTAAACAAAGTTCTGTTATATACTGAAAAATATATTCAAATCTTCGATGAATGTATGATTCATTTGCTAAGTATATTTAATACACTATCGAGTATATTTACACATATTAAGTTTAAATAAATGTTAATTACATTACTAATATAAGTGTCTCAAAGACGTTTTCAGAAAAATCAAAAATAAAGGTTTATTGATAAATAAACAAACTAAAAAGTAAAAATACTAAAATAAGAAAATACAAAAGGAGAATTGATCACAAGTAGGAAAGAGTAGCCTTGCACTATCTTTGTTAAAAGAAGATTATATATAACTATCACAGAACTGATCAGATTACAATAAGCAATTGATAATTATCTTTTCTAATAAATTTAGTCCTCTATATATATGTTTAATTTATATCAAATATATTAACTATATTAAACATATTTAATATGTTTAATATGTTTGATATTTTTAACATTTTGTATTATGTCACATTTGCAAATCATATGTAGATCATATAATTATTACCCTATAACAATAATTAATATATTTTTTGATATTTTAAAGGTTATAAAACATAATAAGTAGCATATTAAAATATTGGAATAATAAGAATTAATAAGTAATATATAATAAAAACTTAATAAAGACTATAATTAAATTATTTCTTAAATATTTATATCACAAAACTCACCTTTTTGCTCTATTATTATATATAGAATATATATTTATTATTTGAAGCATAAAATATTTTATTTTATCACTTAAATCTATTTTATTTTATTATCAATTATTATTAATTATTATTAATTTAATTATATAATATTTTAAATGCTTTAAATAATATTTATTTTTAATATTTTAATTTAAATCATTTTATATTACTTGAAAAATTGCTTTGTTTTTACTTAAAATATTATATTCAGTGAATAATTATTAACCTTTAAAAAATATTTAAATGTTTATATAAAATTATCAATTATTTTTGATATTTAAAAATCTATAATAATTTTTTTTTTTTATTAAAATATAATAAATTATTTGATTCTTATTTTATATTTTATATTCAAAATCTATTATTAAATTATTAATTATATAGTATAAATTAGGGCATCCTTAAAATGTACCCCGGGTTCAGGATATTATCCTAGACCGCAACTGTATTTATCACGTGATAAGTACTTTAAAAATATTTATTTATGCATGGGGTCTAGGATAATAACCTAAACCCGGAGTCTAGGTTAAATTTTCCCCAAATTCGTAAATCAGATTTTAAAAAAGTATGACACGTGAATTTGAATAATAATTACTTGAATTTGATCTTGTCAGTAACTTTGCCACAATTAAAGTTCTAAGCCAATTTATACACAAATATAATTTACTTTTTTTTCCTTGAAAGTTCGAAACATTTCAATGTTAATAATAAATCACAACGCCGTTTATTTTTAATATTAAAAAGTTGTCATGGTTAAAATATGGAAAAATCTTGAAACATGGTGGCAAGAAAACTATTGCATACAACTTACAGTACGTATAGGAAATTTTTTCCCTGTATTATTCCTAATTATATTAGTAGGATGGAGTTATTATGCTTTCGTTATTAGGTTGTGTATATCCTACTTATTGAATAGTTATCCTGTACAAGGTACGTTGTAACATTAATAGGTGAATTTTTTTTCAGAATGAAATTTAAAAATGCTCTCTTATTTTATAGGAGTGGTTTATCTTTTAATATATCACCCACTTTTTTTATTAATGATGTGGAGCTATTTTAAAGCTACTTTTATGTCCCCTGGATATTCAACTGATGTGAGTTATTTTTTTATATATATCCATTTACCATGATACGTTTCCTCAAAGTTTCGCATCGTTATGATATAGACTAGATTAGCTTCGGTAGATTCATCAACAACGACGTATATACCACTCGATCAGCGTCGCTCAAATTCAGGAGAAACAACAAGCAGTAATGTGCCCGAATCAAGTAATGTACCTTCTAATCAAGGCCAACAAGGTGGAACTCAACAACGAAAGAAAGATAATATTTTAGTTGTGATAGATGAAAATGGTAGTCCCATATCACGTGGATCCATTATGGTAAAACAAAGTGGGGAAAAACGGTTTTGTCAAAAATGTAATTTTGATAAACCTGATAGAGCTCATCATTGTAGAGTTTGTAAAGAGTATGTATTATTCTATGTATGTATTGAAATAAATTCAAAAATTATATCATCATTGACAAGTTTTAAATAATGTTGTATTTTATTTTTAAAGATGTATTTTAAAGATGGACCAGTAAGTAATTATAATTATTAGTTAGCATGTATCAAATTTACAAATGGTTTTAATTTAACTAATTTTCAAATTTAATTTTATTAAAAAGTCATTGTCCATGGTTAAATAATTGTATAGGGCATCGTAATCAAAAACCTTTTTATTTATTTCTTTTATGGGCCACATTATATTCATTTTTCATTTCGACATCTACACTAATTCCAATAATTAAATATGCAGAATCAACAGAAGAGGTAATTTATTTATCTAATGAACAAATTATATCTTTTCTCACGACGACTAATTGAACCTTCTTTTTGTAAATTTTCAGCCAGTAATAGAGATTGATTTAAATTGGACATTTTTAATATTACTTGGGGGAGTATTTTTTTTATGTTTGATAGGGTTCACAATATTTCATACTGGTCTAATTTTATCAAATCAAACTACTTTAGAAAGTTTACAAAAACATAATTATAAAGTGAGAGAAAATGGGGATGTTACAACAAGTAAATATTTGAATTTATTTGATATTGGTAGAAAGAATAATTGGATTCAAGTTATGGGTCCAAAATGGTACTTTTGGTTTATTCCTATTGGGGATCCATTTAATGATGGAAAGTCTTGGCCATTAAATTCTTACAGATATAGTACTTTATGTGATTCCGTAGAAAATTTAAATAATCCTGCTCAAATAGTATAATTTTTTAATAAAGTAAACTGTCTCACGTGACTGAACATTGTGTAACGTGAGGAAAATATCTTATATAGGAAAATAAAAAAATTTTTTTTCTTTTTTATTAGTTAATCCATTTTCGCATACGAATGGGTGAAAATAGGTTGCAATACAAGTTACTTCATAAAATGTCTGAACAGAAACTCGAATTATCCAAACCACAAAGTTCTCTTGATAAAGAAAAAGTTTCACAACTAAATCAGGAAACGGAAGAAATACTTCATGATCTTGATAAACCTGACAAGAAAGGTAAAAGAATTAAAAGGTGGTGGTATTGTTAAACTTAAACCAAAAGATTTGTAAGATTAAAAGGTTTAAATTTGGTCGTAAATGCTTTCAAAATTTTCATCAAATGAGAGTTTTTTTTTTTAATGGCAATTCTTTTTATCAGTTAATAAATTGACTGAACAAAAATTAGAACATTTAAAACGATTCATCGATGAGATAAAGGCAGAAACACAATTAGTTTGTGATGAAAAATTTCAAAAATCTCGAACAAAAGAGAATAAAAGAAAAGAAGAACCTCAGCCCAGGTGATTAATTTCAATGTGAACATTTTCATGGCCCAATTTTCTTCTTTTTTAATATTTTTCCTCTAGGTCTGTACCAACTTTGTTAGTTGATTTGAGAAAACCTTTTAATAAATGGGATGTCATAAATAATCCTCGGAGACAAGAATTTAATTCAGAAATCAATTCTACTTATAAATCAATGTGGAGTGTCATCGATAAAATCAAATGAAGATGATAATAGATTTATGTTGTTAATCCTACCAAAATTAGGTTTATGCATAAAAAAAAAAAAAATAAATCGTTATTTTCAATTAAAATAATAATAAAAATAATTATAATAATAAATAAAACGATAACGGCCAATGTTTTTTGTTATTATTGTATATAAAACAAAAATGAAATAACCTTATAACCCTAATAAAGGAAATTTTTATAGACAGGAGAAATCGAAGATCAAATCTTTGTGAAAATTTATTATTTGGGAAAATAAGCATAAATTAAATTTGTTTACCATAAAAAACCGGTTTATTAATTTAAGAAATTTAAGATAAATTAAGAAAATCTTTAACAAATTAAAACTTAGAAACCATTTAATTTAATTGCTGAATTCAAAAAAAAAAAAAAAGTTTCACTCTTTTGCAAAAAGTCTATTAAAAAAGATTTCAATAAGATGACTAGTAGTAAATCTCAACGAAAACTTAGCTTCAATGTTGGTGAAAACTATGAAGTTTTAGATGTGGTAGGAGAAGGAGCATATGGGGTTGTTTGGTAAGTAAATTAAAAAGAACCGATAAATTGAACGAACTTATTAACTAATATACTTATGCGTTACAGCTCAGCTCTTCATAAACCAACCGGTCAGAAAGTGGCCATTAAAAAGATAACTCCCTTTGATCATTCTATGTTCTGTTTACGAACCCTCAGAGAAATAAAGCTTTTGCGGTATTTTAACCATGAAAATGTTGGTATCAAAAAAAAATAAAATAAAATAAGCAAGGTACATATTAGGGTTAATTTGTTTGAATTTTTTAATCATATAGGTTATCGCCATTTTAGACATTGTTAAGCCTGAAAACTTGGAAAAATTCACAGAAGTGTAAGTAATTGGTTTTATGTTTGTCAATTTAGTTCATTTACTTAAAATTCTTAAATTATTTATAGTTATCTCATTCAAGAACTCATGGAAACTGATATGCATCGTGTAATTCGCACTCAAGATTTGAGTGATGATCATTGTCAATACTTTATTTATCAGACTTTACGTGCTTTGAAAGCGATGCATTCCGCTAATGTTCTTCATCGTGATTTGAAACCAAGTAATTTGTTGCTTAATGCTAATTGCGATTTGAAGGTATAATTTCTTCTTTTATGATCGATCGATTCTGTTTGCATAATTTGCTTCATGTATTCATCTTGAAAACAACTTAGGTATGCGACTTTGGTCTCGCTCGAAGTGCGAACTCCAGTGATGAACATAGCGGATTTATGACTGAATATGTTGCAACTCGATGGTATCGTGCTCCAGAGATTATGTTAACGTTTAAAGAGTACACCAAGGCCATCGACGTGTGGTCTGTTGGTTGTATCTTGGCAGAAATGTTGAGCGGAAAACCATTGTTCCCTGGAAGAGATTGTATGCTTTTAACTTACTTATAGTCTTTTTACACTTGTCCTTTACTCGTATCATTTATTTCAATTTTTTTTAATTTTTTAATTTTTTGAATGAATAGATCATCATCAACTTACACTTATTCTTGATGTACTTGGCACACCAACAATGGAAGATTTCTATGGCATTAAAAGTAGAAGGGTACTACATTATTATTCTATTCTTATTGATGATTTTAAATAATATATATATATATATATATTTTATTAACTCACTTTCATTTCTAGGCCAGAGATTATATTCGCTCTCTTCCTTTCAAGAAACGTATTCCTTTCACTCATATGTTCCCTCATGCAAATCCATTGGCTCTTGACATGTTGGAAAAATTGTTATCCTTTAATCCTACAAAAAGAATTACTGTTGAAGAAGCTTTGAAACACCCGTATTTGGAACCAGTAAGTGCAGTATTAATGTATTATCGTAAGTTATAAAAATTTTATGAATTCTTTTTTTTATTACAAAATTTTCAAGTATCATGATCCTGAAGATGAACCATCTGCCGATCCAATTCCCGAATCATTTTTTGATTTTGATAAACATAAAGACCAATTGTCGAAAGAACAATTGAAACGTATGTATCAATTATTTATTTTTTAAATAATCTCATTATATTAATTTTAATTTTAATTTTTTTTATTTTTTCTTTTTGTCCCTCTTTTTAGAGCTTATTTATGATGAAATCATGAGACCAATATAATACTAATATGTAAAAAAAATCTAAATGTTGTATGTATTCTGGATATAAAGTTATATATTTATATTGATATTTTTACTTATTTAATTAAAAGAAATTAGTTTTCAATGGTATAATGGTATAGAATAAAATATATATACATGTGCACACGAACACACATATATAATAATGTTTTTGTTTTTTATTTTATTTTACTTTTTATTTTATTTTTTTTTTTGTCTAACATTACTCGATTCTTGTGTAATGAATATTACTCGGACATTTCTATTTCGTCATCATCGCCTAAACCGAATCTTTGGAGACAAATGTTATGGCCATATTCATTAAACTCAGCACGAGAAACTAACTTCTCGTTAAAATCAGCTGAATTTGCAAATTTAACACCACCTTGCCATGCATATGTGACAGGACTATATTAAGAAGGAAGAAAAAGGTTTAAGGATGTTCAAAATAATAATGATAATAAGAGTAATCCTTACTTTTCTGACATTCCAACCCTAATTTCAAATTCCGTTGGTGCAAGATAACGTAAATCCTTTTCACTAATTGAAAGGAAAAAAAAGTTTAGTACTAATGAAAAATTGCAAGTAGCAAAAAAAAAAAAAAAAAAAAAAAAAAAATTACATTCTATTTTTATATCCAGAAAATAAAGAATTTCCACCGACCAGGATGATGTTTCCATAAAGTAATCCATGCAAATCTACATCATTTACAGATAAAGAAGGAAACATTTCTATACTCAAATTGATGAATAATAATAAATAATAATAACCCAAAACGCCAAAGTCAGTTACCACCAAAAAATTCTTTTATTAAAAAGAAATAAAAGTAAATAAAATAAGTTTTTTTTTTTTTTTTTTTCTTTTTAGGACGCGTATGCCCAATAAATAAATGAATAAATTTAAAATGAAAACCATCCATCCAAAAAAAAAAAAAAGTAAAAAAAAGCAATGTAAAAAAATGATACCAGGATGAGTTGCATTGATAGATTCCACTATTACTTCAGGTATCCCTGCTTGGTTCATTCCTAAAATTTATCACGCATCAAATTAAAATTATGTGTATATGAACGCATCAGAAACGTGCTTATGATACATACCAACATCCATAGGATTAAATAATATTTCTGGCACAGATAATCTTTCGTTGTTCATGTACAATACTTGTTCATCGGATTGATCATATACTCCTCCACGTTTCTTTTCCTATAGTTACAAAAATGGAAAATAAAGGTGCAATGTAACTCTATAAAAAATATTAATAGAATAAATAAAGAATATGATTGGTACTCTGATGTATCCTTTTGAGTTTCTTGAAAAGTCTGGGAGAATGTATTCTTGAAGAATTGGATTATCTCGTGGATTTTTTCTAAATAAAATTTTATGCTAGTTGCAAAAGATTCGAAACGAGAGAATAAATCAAAATTAACTTTATATTAACATACCGACAAATTTCTAGATCTGATAAAAAATCTTGAGAAACGAAACAACACGTTTCTTTCACTTCATTCATAATATAAGTTTGTTCCATCATATCCCAATACCTAATCATTGAACAAAACAATTAGTATCTAAAAAGATTTTTAAAATTATATTGTAATAAATTACCTAAATGATACAATCTCCTTCAGATGATTTGTTAACAATTTTCCTCCAATGTTAATTCTTTAATAATTAGAAAATTAATTCCAATTAAAAACTAAAAATATTTTATGCGAAAATATATATATATATATTATAAATAAAAAAAAAAGATCACCTTCTGATGGCCGGTAATATCGGTCTTCCCATAACAAAAGGTACAACATGAGTAAAAGAATAACCAGAATCAACAACCAATGCACAATCTGGCACTTCATTAGGTTTATAAAATCGATCTTTATAAAGTGAAGTTGTATCATTTTGAATACATAACCATGGAGCTATTTACAAAGTAAAGTCTTATAAGTAAATGATGTAAACTTTTTTTTTTTTTAAAAAAAAAAAAAGAGTATACCAATTGTTCTATAATAAGCTTCGAATTCGTAAGCTTCAAATATAACTTCATCGTAATTTTGTTGAATGTTTGGTAAATTAAAACATGGTTCTGTAATTAATAGAGTAGTATTTTTCGGATCGCACTAAATAAATCAATGATGAATTCATAAAATGAAATTTTATATTATCAATGCACAAAACTTATATTAAACATACATTAAGAACATCTTTAGAAAATATTCTATCCCAAACTTCTTTTTCATTTTGCCAATTTATAAGAAATCCCTATATGAATATTTCACGATAAATTAAATTCACGTTAAGCTTTGAAAAGTGTTTAAAAAAGAATGAAATTGAACCTTTTCAAATGGTAATTTATAATATAATCCAGTAAAATCTGTACACGTGCTTAATTGATCCCCTATATATGACTTTTTGTCGCCTTTTCCACGCGTTACTGTGCAATTAGGTATAGTTCTATAAAACATAAGTAAAAATAATAATAATAATAATAATAATAAATTATTGAAATTTTAAACTTTAGAATATTTTTTTTTACCTTGCTTGAGTCCAGTCGGCGTAACCTGCCTTAATTGAGTACGCGCCATTATCAAGTACCAATACCTTTCTTCCCGACATTTTCAAATTCCGCTACAATAATAAAAGAATTGTTGTTTATGTATTTGTGAAACAAATCAAAAACTTTTATCGAGATCGTCCATTTAATAATAGATATGCAATTTGATTTATTATAAAAGATGAACTCTACATAGCCGGAAAAAAAAAAAAAAAAAAAAAATAATTATACAAAAAAATATTAACTATACAAAAAAATATTTAAATATAACTTATAAATAATAATTTAATCTTCAGCATCACTTTGGTATGGAGTTGGTTGCCATATTGTAACTTCACTAGGAGCGAATGGTCCTAACATTTCATCAGGCCAAAGATAATTTGTTTCTTTGCTATCATTCACATCATCGAACAAATCATCATCATCATAAGATATTTTGTTCCCAATGTTTTTAAATTTTTGTTCAAATGTTTGAACTTCAGTTGATGTAAGATTCCCCCACTCAATTGATGTGAAAGGATCTTGTTCGTCGACTAGAGGTATAATAGGGGTATCCCATTCTGACCCATCGCCACCATTGGTAAAAAGAAAACTATCATCACTATAATATTCATCTATGGTATTTAAATGAGGTTTCGTGACGGAGAAGCCATATACTTCGTCTTGAAGCCACTGTTCCCAATTTGATAAAAATGACTCATCTAACATAATATCATCCGCAATATATGCAGAATTTACATGATTTAAAGGTTTCGTATGATGTGGAGGGAATATGTCGGGTGAATTTCTGTTATCATTTTGATAAAGTAATCCATTATGATGATCATCGTGTGTCAAATAATTTCTTTCATTATAAAATTTAATCAGTGCTCGAAGGCTTTGCTCTTGAGGCTATTGAATGTAATAATAATAAAATGACGATTAATTAAGATTTAAACAAGATTTTACAAATAACATATCACTTACCAGAGCATCTTCAATTTCAGCATCCGCATCGGATGATGCGATCCATTCATCTCGTAAATCTGGCCGGCAATGCAAATATATGGAGGTGATTATTTTCATATTACCTATTATTTCATAAAATTCCATTATTTTATCATACAAATTAATTAATAAATCGGATGTAATTAAACGAGCATACTTTGACGCCATTTTCTACCGATAAATGGAATTTGACTCTTTAGAACTTTCAAAGCATATAGTTCTAATAAAGGATGCGATACTTTAAGGATCCTTTTTAATATAGCCTATATTTTTTAAGGAAGTCATTATTATTAAAATAAAATTAAGTAAATTATTGAAGTGGAATACTCACGGAAGACTTGTACTGAACTAACAATAATACTCTGTGTGTCTTCTTTTTTGTCAACTTTTGCAAAATACGTAAAAAATTTATTGCGGAGAAAAAATTTCGCCAACAATAATCGGAATCCACATTATTATCGATTAAATTTAATTCATCAACATGTTCTATCTGCAGTTGTTCTTTTGATCTACTATCATCCTCAAGATTATCACTACAAGTTTTTCCTGATCCATGTTTATCATTAAGATTTTTGCAATATTGGAAGAAACTTTATAATTTTTAAATGAGTGATTGTTACTTAAATGTTGTTAAGTATTTTAATTTATAAACTACTGATGTGATTGTATACTTACTTTAAATCTTCGACTTCATTCCTAGCTTTTATAGTCAAGCTTACATCCTGTAAACCAAACATTTTCAAAATTAAAAGTAAACAATTAGATTCAACCAATAGTTGCGAAACATATTCAAATTTTAAGATATCTAAAATATAGTTAGGTTTATTAAGGACAGAATTTTTTTGGGCTTATTATAATCCAATCATTCTTTTTTTTTTCTTTTTTTTTTTAAAAAAAAAAGGATACGAGACAATTTCAAATATTTTAACATTAACAATAAAATTGCTGAAACTGCTTTAGATGTAATTTCTCGATGTCTCATAATATCAATTTCTTCAACACTATTTCCGTTTGAAGATGAAGAATTAATATTGTTATCAGATGATAAACCTACAAATATTAAAATGTAAAGTCATAGAATTAGTCTGTGAAATAAGGATATATCTTTTTTACTTTGACATTGAATACACAACCAACCATTGTTTGTGGTAACATTCTCCTTTGTGATGCTGTCATTACTATCATTTACTTTGACATTACTTGAATTGGGTGAAACAGTTGCAAGCAACAATTTAAGTAACACGATAACAATGTATTGCAGATGTGGTAGGATTGACCTCTATTATAAAGTTAAATTCATTAAGGAGAACATTGTTATAAAAATAAATGATTGGTGCCTGTTTAGAAATTTAAAAGGATACATAAAGAAGTTCAATCCTGTCCAACTTTTCTCTATCTCTTTTTGTCACCTGAGCTTCTGTGTCATTATTTCCATTTGATACATCTCTTCCACAATTTGATCTGTTATTTTCATTATGTATTCTCACATCATCTATGGAACAACTAAATTGTTGTTTCTTCATTTCATCCTTCTCTTTCCAAAATTGTAAAATCCCTAAGCTTGTATACATAAATTTTAAATATAAATCTCCCGCTTCCTGTATTGATTTTGGCACTGTAGGTGTAGATTTCGAGAATGGAAAAATAAACGGCTGCCGTTGATTTGTTTGAAATTGTTGTTTACGCGATTTTGGTGACGAATTATTGTTTATACTTGAATAACTACTCTGCGTAAACATATCATTGCTATTATTGCTATTAGAATTTGAGGAAAACTGATTGGCAATGGTGAAAGGCATAGAAAAAACTGGACTATGGGGCGGAATATATGTTGGATATTTTTGAGTAGCCTCAGTTTGAAAAGTATTATAATCAATTGGGGTTGTCTTAGTCGAGAATTCTATTTATTTATTTATTTATTAAAAAAAAAGGATAATTAGTTAAGTAAATGACTAAAAATATTTATTTATATTTAAATATATATTAGAAATTTTTATTACCTTTATTATGAATTGGTGGCAATCCATTTATTAATCTAACTACATCCTTCAATTTTCGGATATCACATGACCCACCGAAACTTGCCAAAATAACTTTCCATAACAAAAGAAGCAGCTAATATATGTATATGTTTTCCAATAGTTTATTATCAGTAGATAGTTTTAATTAAAAAATATTCCTAACATGTAAATTATTAAGATGGATGGTTACCTTTTTTACGGGATATCCTTTGGCATTCTTTTCTTTTTCTCGTAATGACGCGATGATTTCAAAAAGAAATACAGACATTGGCGGATCAAGTTCGACTTAATTATATATAATAACATATTAGATGTTAATTGAATTAGTATTGTCTCTCATTAGATAACTGCTTACCCAATATACTTTAAGAACAAACCAAGCTCTGAGCCAAATGATTCATCTCCACGATGAACTTCGACTAACATATATAACAATGTCAAATAGTATCCTATCTCGATATTTGTATCATCGATATAAGCTTGTCGATCTGAAATAAAATCTGGATGGCTGTAATGTATAATTTAAAGAAATGTAATTACATAATAATTTGAAAAAGCAAGATCTAAAAAACGAAAAAAATAAAATAAAATAAAAACCTATAATGATCATGAGCACGACAGGCCAACTTTAAGGCTTGAAAATATGACAATAGTGCTCCACACTTCCGTAGCAATTTATTATTGTCAATTATCAATTCTAGATGATGTTCCGGCGAAGTCGATTCCCCAAATGTTCCTGATTATTCAATAATAAATTAAAATTTAATTTAATTTGTCAAATTATAAGACTATTGTAACAAATAAGTTAATTTGTTAACCTTGGGCAATATACAATAATTTTTTGGCAGTACAGAATCTCTTTTCAGGATCCTTTAATTCCAAAGTTTCTAACAGGTATTCAATATAAGTACGGCGTTCAGATATTGTACAAGTAGTCCAAGCTAATAAACACATTGAACAAATATTTATATAAGAATGAATAAACATTTAAATTAAGTCAAATTAAATTCGAAACATTTACATTCATCGAATCCTTCTTCAAATGACTTTTTGTTTTCAAAACATTGTGAAATTTCAACATAACTATAGAATTCATCAATCTCTTTGGAAAGACTGTCAGTGTCAGTATAGGTAAAGGCTATTTCTTTTGGCTAAATAATATATAAATTGATAATTTATTTAATTCCATTTATAAAATTAAGAAAAAAAAGAAAGTCACAGTTTCTTATTACTTTTTGTTTATTCGGAAATTGCTTTACAATCTTTTTCAATTGTCCCAACGTCAACGAGTCATTAGGGACTTCGTCGTTTACTTGTTCTTTTGGGAGGTCGACAGTTACGTTCATTGTCTTGCGTTCTACTGAAGACCCTAGATTATTCTATGTATATTATATATGTAATTATGTGATGGATTGTGCAACAGGGAATACGTAATATTATTATGCAATACAAAGACTATTTATTTTCGATTTGCTTTTTGAATATATAAATACGTGAATATGTCGTTTTATGGTTTACCGAAGCAAAACTAAGTTACGTTCAACATTGCCATTTTTAAAGTTTTTGCCCCATCTTTTGATCGAAAATTTATTTTTTTTTTCTGTTAGAAAAAACGATTTTTTTTTTTAGAATAATCAATTAATAAAATTAAATTTATTATGGAATTACCAGACTTGGGTCGTCATTGTGCCGATTCTTCTTGCAAACAATTAGATTACCTTCCTTTCAAATGTCAATATTGTAAACGAGAATATTGCAACGAACATTCGAATCCAAAAGTTCATAATTGTCCGAATGCACCCAGCGACGATGGAGAGCGAGTACCTGTTTGTCCTGTGTGTAATGTTCCTGTTCCTGTTAGCCGTGGAGAGGATCCAAATATTAGAGTATGTTTCAACGTAAACATAAAAATATAAAATATCTTTTATTTATTTTCTATTTGATACCTTTTCTTTTCTAGATGAACTTACATATATCTAACGACTGTCGACCTCCGTCAAAAACAACTTCTTCTAAACCGTTTAATGCATGTTTTTTTGGAAAATGTAAAACAAGAAGTCCTCTTCCTCTGGTTTGCTCAGGCTGTGGCAAAAATTATTGCATCAAGCATCGTTTGGAACTTGATCATAATTGCGAAAAGGTGAAAAAGGACAATAAGGTGTCCAATTTTTCAAAATTAGAAGCTCTAGCATCTAGGCCTTCGACAGCAAATGCGTCAAAGTTGGTGTCAACATCGAAACCAAAACCTGTAGCTTCAGCAAAACCTATAACAACTTCGAAAAATTCCATTAAAAACTGGATGGGAAAACTTTTTAAATAATTTATTACACCAATTTATTTTCTTCAATTCATTCTTATAGCATTATGTTTATATATATATTAATATCCCATTATCAGAATAGAGTATAGAAACGAAACATTCTTAAAGTTCACTCATATGTATCATTACATCAAGCATACAAATACTGGTAATATTTATTTGCATTAAATTTTTTAAATATTATTATTATTATTATTATTATATAGGAACATATCATATTCGTGTTATCATAGATCAATAACTTAATTGCAATATATGTATTTGTGATAAAAGTTTCATTTCAACCTGCGGTCTTTTTATTTAGATAAAATAAATATTTCAAATAAAAAAAGTAATTATATAGAATATTCACTTTCTGGTGCGTTTTATTTATTAATAATATTAATTTTCATTCTTCATTTACTATTTCTTCAAATCTTTTTTATATAATAATATTCTGATTAATGCTACTATTTTTTTGAGATAGGCAATATAATATTTAAGAACTGTTATTAAAAAAATTATTGATTCTAACAATTCAAATTTCAAATGATGGTTTTATATACTGTAAATTTTAATATTAATATTTAATAAACTAAATTATAAAAGTATGAATAAGTATTTATTTTATCAATAATATTCTTTAATATATTTGAAGTTATCAAAATTATTTAATTATAAATTACTATAACAGTTATTGTAAAATCAAACTAATAAAGAGAAAAGTATTTACCTATAGTTATAATTTGAAAAAAAAGTAACTAATAAATTAATTAAAAGAAAAATATATTATTATTACAGTTGATGAATCAATTAATGTTCATAAAAAATTAGCTTTAAATATTTTTATTTAGTTTTATAAATTAGATAAAATTGGTTATAATTGATTACCTTATCATAGTGAATAATTTATAATTATAACTTATTATTAAAACCTTTAATAATTATTTAATTCTCTTAAAAATATTATTTTATTCATTTTAAATAATATTAAAATCCTTTAAAAAATCTTTCTATTATTATATTTAAAATAAAATATAATTATTATTTAAATCACATATATAATTTAGTTAGAAAACTTAGATTAAAAATCAAAATTTTACATTATCTTTTACAAATTCTTTAATGTGAAAAATAGATGACTTAGAGTTCTAAATAAATTAAGTCAAGTCAAATTTAAAGATCAATTTTATTTAACTTTTTTTTTAGAATTAAGTTGAGTTTATTTTATAAAATCTTTCAACTTGATTCAAATTATATAAATTTTAAATTCAACTCAATTTAACTTAATTTGATTTTATTTTAATTTAATTTTAACTTGAATTTATTTAAGTTAAGTTAAATTCAAATGTCAAATTTAAATTAATTTATAAATATTTAAATATAAAAAAATTTATATTTATCTTATTCGTAAAAATGAAAGATCTACTCCTAAAAAAAATAAATCTTCAAAAAATCCTTAAAAAAATATCCTAAAATATATTTATGAAAGATTGATTTATTTATCTTTAAAAGTAAGATTTGACTCACTTACATATTTGTAAATTAACTTTTACTTAAGTCTAAATTTTTTTGGTTAGGAAATTTATTTAATTAATTTATTTTTTTTAAAAAAAAAATTTGATTTGTTTGTCATGATAAAGGTATTTAAATTATTAATTATTTTTTTTTTAGAATTTTAGGTTGCAATAAGGATATACAGTAGCGGTCATAAGTATCCGACCACCCGAGATCGTCCAAAATTATTATATAACTACCCCTTAAATTTTCC